AGACCAACCTTACAAGAGATGCTAAAGGGAGTACTTTGGACAGAAAACCAACAACAGCAAACAACAACCGACCATTAACAGACATGATGACACAATCCAGAAAACAACCCACTTATGGAAGTATCCAAAGTAAATAAGCCTACGAGATTGTAAACAGGGAACCAGAGACATCAATTGACAAATGAGGACAAGTATAAACCAAAAAGAGGGAAAAAATTGTGTAGTTACAGATCTTCTAAATGGTAGGGAAGTCAAGACAACTGCAAGATAGAATGGACTGTTCTTAACTTGGGAGGATAATTATAAATCACAGGGTAACCTCAAAGAAAAATGATAAACCCTCTTATCAAAATAGAAAAGAAGACCAGCACAAATATTTAGGAAATACTAAAACAATAGCAAAGAAGGATTCAATTCATAAACAAAACAAGCTCAGCACAGAAAATTATATGGAACAGATAAATTAGCAGCATCATGACAAAGCACATCACAAAATGACAGCAACAAATTCATACTTGTTGACAGTTACACTGCCAAGAGTAAAAAGAGAACGTACAGATTGGGAAAAAATATTCAGTAATGACACAACTGACAAGGGATTTATCTCTAAAATTTATAGAAAAGTCTAACACCGCAGCAAGAAACAGATTAACAATCCAATTAAAAAGTGGACAGAAGACATGAATATACACTTCACCAAAGAGGATATTCAGGCGGCCAGCAAATACATGAAGAAATGCTCATGATCATTAGTCATTAGAGAGATGCAAATCAAAACAACAATGAGATACCATCTCACCACAGCACTAATGGCAAAGTTCAACAAGACAGAAAATAAGAAGTGCTGACAAAGTTATGGAGAGATTGAGACTCTCATACACTGCTGGTGGGATGGTAAAATGATACAACCACTATGGAAAGCAGTGTGGTGATTCCTTAAAAAGCTGGAATTAGAAATACCATTTGACCCAGCAATCCCATTACTAGGTATATATCCTAAAGAAGTGAAAGCCAGGACAAGAACAGATATATGCACACCCGTGTTCACTGCAGCACTATTTATAATAGTAAGAAGATGGAAATAACCTACGTGCCTATCAGCAGAAGAATGGAAAACCAAACTATGGTACATACACACAATGGAATACTATTCAACACTGAAGAATAATGTAGAATCTGCAAAACACTGCATAACATGGGTTAACTTGGAGGACAAATAAGTCAATCACAGAAGGACAGATATATTATTAGTTCATTATCATAAAAAGTCAAGGAAAGCTTTACATATAGAAGGAAACTTTGTTGGTTATCAGGGGTGGAAGGGGAGGGGAGGGAACAGTGCAAAAAAAAAAAAGCATCGATCCATGTCATTTTAGTTTTGTGTATTTCACTGTACATACATTATATTTCAATAAAAAAAAATCATAGTGCCTAAGGCACTTGACGTGGTATCAGGATTGGAGGAAGAATCATTAACAACCTGAGATATGCAGACGATACAACTTTGCTTGCTGAAAGTGAGGATGACTTAAGGC